ACCATCATTGAATTTAGTATTGATCTGGTTGTGTTAATGAGTAAGGTATAGCAACTTGGACCGTTGTATATAATGGGCTTGATCCTACGTTGTAATTGATTGACTGATTAACATGAACTAATGACTATTACTAATGAAATTTTTGTTATTGAATATCAACTTCATGAAATGATAATTATTTTTGTTAATAATCCCGGCTGGGTTGATATGCCCTGGTACGGCCGAGAGTGGGGAGAGTCCGCTCTCCCTCTCCAAATGCTCTAACATGGCCATGCTTATATAGCCTCTGCCAGGGAAGTCCTACTGACTGCCTTCTCGTGGCCACAGTGTTGTTTACGAAAATGAGAGGATGAAAAGCGAATGTCCGGTGCTTTAACCAGATCCCAAACCAATGGTTCACATGGGCTCCAGTATCCTGCGGGAACAAATGCTGTATGAACCAATTGTTGGTCACTGGCTTCCATGTAACTGCATCTTCTTACGATGCTCCACTGCCTTGTGGATCAGACCTTCATACCAAAGGCTCGGGATGTGGCCCCCTAAGATAACCACCTGCTTCGGTTTGAGCAGCCGGGCAGTATCACAGCCCTCACACATATCAAATGAGATTTGTGTGGCATATATGTATTTGGTGCCTCCTTGTACCAATACTTATGTGTGCATACAATCACTGTCAGGGAAGTCCTACTCACTGCCTTCTTGTGGCATTACTGTTGTTTACGAAATTGACAGGATGAAAAATTGAATGTCTGGCGCACTAACCGACCTGGTGGACACGGAGGAACTACCTTGTAGGTTGGAAAACCTTGAGGAATTAGAATTATGATTTACAATTGATGTTTAAGATAAGGAATTTGATTAAAGGTTTTCATCACGAATTGAGACCAGCTATAATGCCAATGAATTTCCTGCCAAAATCCGAAATCTATTATTTTATGCCTGATTGGTTTGTTCATAAATTATAGTCTCGGCAAAAAGTAATGATGAAAAATCGATATTTCACATATGTGATTGAAATGTTCTTAAACAGAAGAAGAACAAAGATTAATGCTGCATAATAAATATGAAGGTGACTACAGATGAATATGTGTATCATGATGTAGTGAAAATTCCAATAGAGTCCTGGGTTCTAATCCCTCGAGGTGAGGTCGTGGATGCACACTGCTGAGGATTCCCACAATAGGATGAAACGGTCATCCAGTGATTCCAGGTTTCCTATGGTGGTCTCGCTTCAATTGATTCATGATCTCAACTATTGAAAATAAATTAATCGTAATAAAGAAAGATATGAATTGGAAAAAATATGACAATGATGTAATGTGAACTTTAAAAAGAGTGACATCATAAATAAAAAGGGGATGTCATGTTACCAGGGTAAAGAATGATTGATTATTACCTCTTCTTTAAATACGTAGATCTGGCTTTAGACATTTGACCATCATCCCTTTTGATAAATGAGATGTTCTTGTTGTTTCTAATAAGTAGAATATAAATGATTTGTCAAAATGATTGTCTAATATTTGACTTGTTAAACATGTGAAGATTAATATTAATGAAAGAATATCTGAACTACATTTAAGTAATACACTTCGGTAAAATTGGTTCAATCGTTGGAATAATGTATGACTAGTATCAGAAGGGATTTTGTGGAGATTGTAGTAATTTCAACAGTTGAGATCATGGGTCAATTGAAGCTAGACTACCATGGAAAAATTGGAAGCATTGGACGGCCGTTTCGTCTTATTGTGGGACTCCTGGAGTTCCAGTGAGATGCAGTAACCAGTGGAATTCAACCAGGTCAGTTGTGAGGTGGTAACTCACTGAAGACAATGGTGTATGTACCGCTCAATTTCGTGGATTAGTTGAAATTCGACATTAACACCGTCGGATGCCAGCCAGCTGAGCTATCTAGAGGTTAAGCACTCACGCACGATACTGATAGGTCTTGGGTTTGAATCTCGATAGGCGAGATCGTGGTTGCGCACTGCTGAGGAGTCCCACAATAGAACGGAACGGCCGTCCAGTGCTTCCAAGTTTTCCGTGGTGGTCTAACTTCAATCGACTCATGATCTTAACTGTTGAAATTAATGTTTGATTATTCATTCTTTAGAGTGTTTCAAAAAATCTATAAAGAAGTATATTTCTACCACTGTCTTACGAGGGTAAATATTATTACATTATTATTAACATCGGTAGAAAGAGGCACCAAATAGATATATGCCACATAAATCACTCGAATTGTATGAGGGCTAAGATACTGTCCAAGTGAGCAAACTGAAGCAGGTGGTTCTCTTAAGGAGCCACACCCGAAGCCTTTGACTTAAAGCTCTGATCCAAAAGGCAGTGAAGCAACGTCAGGAGATGCAATTCCATAGTAGCCGGTGACCATTAATTGGTTCATACGTCATTTGTTTCTTCAGCATCCTGGAGACCATGTACACCGTTGGTTTGGAATCAGGGTTTTCCAACCCAACGCCAAGTAGTTCCTTTGTGTCCACTAACTCGGTTAGAGCGCCGAACATTCACTTTACGTGTTCTCGATTTCGTAAACAACAGTAATGCCGTGAGAATTTAGTGAGTAGGACTTCCCTGACAGTGGCTGTATAAACGTGGCCATGTGACAGCATTTGGAGAGAGGGAGAGAGAACGGACTCTCTCCACTCTTGGTCGTACCAGAACATTTGAGGGGGCAATAAAGGTAAGAGTCAAACTGTTATGCTTTCCACTGAATATTTATTTGCATTCAATCACTCAATATAGATGTTTATCTTAAAATTGTTTATGGAATTCATTCAAACATGCATCTACATTAAAAGCTTTGACAATGGTTGGAACCCAGAACTTTCGACAATTCCTGTTGTATATATAGTAATCACAAATCTGAGTCCAGTAACACTTATTTCCAGAGGGAACTAATACTATGGAACTACGTAGCTTGATTACACTCATATTTTAACAAATAATACTTTTCATCTTGACAGAATCTATGTTTTCATAAGAATAACAACCTGTCCAACTAGTGAATTATTCATATAACACTGAATTTCATATTTCGAAATATGTTTTGTAACCCTGAATATGGCCTCAATAGTATCATCAATCCTTGTATATTATTGTCGACTTAACCGCACGTTAGTGTATAATGAAATTAAAATAAGTCAAGTACGAGGATGGATTTCTCAATACGTATATATCGTATAGTCGTTGATCGGAAAAAACGGTCAGAAAGATGTAACGATTGAAACAAAGAAGAGAGAGTGAAACGAAATGAAACACAGTGAAGAAGGCATGTAAGCCAACTCGATTTAATCAAGCAATGCATACACTGCATACGACTACATAAAAACAACCAAGCTTAATGAGCAAGTAATTGAAAGGGTCAGAATATGACTCAAGAAGAATGGAAATTAGATCGAGTTATATGGGCTTAACATAGTAACTGAGACTTACTTACTTACGCCTGTTACCCCTCTCGTCAAGGAACATAAGCCGCTCACCGGCATTCTCCATCCAACCCTATCCTCAACAATCTTTTCCAGTTGCTATTCATTCTTTTCATGTCTGCTTCAAATTCGTGACAAAATGTGTTCTTCAACCTTCCACTCTTCCATTTCCCTTCAGGATTTCAAGTTACCGCTTGCTTCGTGATGCAATTTGATGATTACATCAATATGTGTTCTATTAATTTCTAACGTCTTTTCCTTATTCCCCTCTTCATCTGGAACGTGTTTTGGACTCTCCTACATTAGACTGTTCCTGTGATGGTATTCGGTCAATAGAATGTTGAGTATCTAGCGTAGACAACTATTTATAAATACTTCCACCTTCTTGATAATTGTTGTAGTATTTTATTTTTTAAAATTTTATTTTAACACATAGATATTGGTACAATGAGGTACCAAATACATATGCGCCACATAAATTCCATTTGATATGTGTGAGGGCTGTGACAATGCTTGGGTGCCCAGACCGAAGCAGGTGGTCTTCTTAGGGGGCCACACTCGGAGACTCCGACATGAAGGTCTGATCCACAGGGCAGTGTAGCGTCGTAAGGAGGTGCAGTCCCATGTTAGTGGGTGACCATTAATTGGTTCATAAGTCATTTGTTCCTGTAGCCCATAAACACCATTAGTTTGGAATGAGGGTTTTCCAACTACCCTAGATGTATCCTGTATATCCACTAACCCGGTTAAGGCGCCGGACAGTCACTTTTCGTCCTCTCAATTTCGCAAACAACACCTTGGTGGCGCGAGAAGGCAATGAGTAAGACTTCCCTGGCTGATGCTATATACGCATGGCCATGTGAGAGCATTTCGAGAGGGAGAGTAGACTCTCCCCACTCTCGGTCGTACCAGGGCATTTGAGGGCGATTATTGTAGTACATCTCCATGTTTCCGGTACTACGTATCATTGAATCCTTTTAAAAGAATATGTGAATGAATCTATGAATACAAATAATGTATATTTCATTGTTTACTTTCTTTCTTTTTCTTTTTCAAAGTACCAAAAACAAAATGTATGATTTACATAAGAATAATGAAATTTCTTCTATTCATTCAGAAACTAATTTACCATTAGATTTACGTCTTTATAATAAATTAAATAAGACCAAAAAAATAAAAATAAAAAAATATGGAAAATTTAAAAGAATTCATAAAACTCAATCTTATTTATATAAACAAAAATCTAATCATCATCATCATCATCAGCAACAACAACACCACCACAACGACCACCACCACCACCACCAACAACAACAACACCACCACAACGACCACCACCACCAACAACAACAACAACAATACCAGCAACAACAACACCACCATGATGACGACCATCACCACAACAACGACAACCAGCATCACCACCACCACCAACAACAACAACACCACAATGACGAAGACGACCACCACCACCATGAACAACAACAACAACAACAATTGAATCATTTATTATATTCATCTATGAATTCAAAGATATTTATTTGTTCAATATGTCAAATGGAAACAATCAATTTTTATATGTTTGTTCAACATATGTCTATACATTTTAATCAATCCAATTTAGATCCATTCCAAAAAAGGGATCATTTGAATCAATCAATTAATGAATTTAATAATTATAAATTATTATGTAATATATGTAATCATTTATTGAATTTTAATCAATTTATTGATTTAATGGTATGTTTCACTTTATTCTTCTTTTAATTCTTTTTAATGTAATTTTAACAGTTGAAATCATGAGTCAATTGAAGCTAGATCGCCATGAAAAATCTGTAAGCACTGGATGGTCGTTTCGTCCTATTGTGGGACTCCTCAACAGTGCGTAATCTACGACTTCACCTCGAGTGGTTCGAACCCAAGACCTATCAATTAACTCATGATCTCAACTGTTGAAATTACTACAATCTCCATAAAACCCCCTTCTGATCTTTTTAATGTATTGAATTATGATTGATGATATTATGGTATATACTATTAATATTGATAAATATAAGTAGTATATCTCATTCATCGAAAGTGAAATGTTTCACGGTAGAAAGTTAAAAAGATCTAAGAGAAAAAAAACAAGAATAGAGAATAATTTGGATAGAAACAAAAGGAATAATAAAGTCTAAGATGATTTAATATATTGTTCTTAAATTTTACTAAGTAATGCATAGCAGACTACTTGGTTAGGATCCGCATGACTATCGTAACCAATGGTTGGAGTCTGTGGGTGATATAGTTCAGAATCGATCGATCACAATGGTATCGGTGTATACACTTTTTGTCTTCCCTTAAACTATGAGATTAAAATGGCTTCATATCTTTCTTTTTACGAACCAATTCTTACTTCATGCATTATATCTTTATATGCAATCTTTCTTTTATATATTACCACCATTGAATGAACTAATTCTATGAATTCGGTGTTTAACTTGCTGTGCTAATGAAGTGTGACAACTTGAACCGATACATATATGTGTCTGGTCCTACATTGTAACTAACTGACTGAATGCATAACAAATGCTTATCTAAATTAAGCCTGATCTGTCAAACTTTACATTATATTGGTATGAATACTCATATTGAGGTTTAAACTGTGTACTCATCACTTAAAATGAGAGTATTTTATTAAATTAGCCATTAGTCTACTATAGCCATCAAGTTATAACGTTTGTAATCATTTGTCTTGCTTATATGGGCTGTTTTTTTCTCAGCTTTTTTTTTACATTTGGAGTTACATTTAGTTAGTTCATACTGACATACAAACTCCTAGAATATATACTATATATTCTGATTCACGTTTACATGTTGATTGCACCTTACACAATAGCGAGTAGTAGAATCCTGGAAGGGTGTTTTAATAGATGGTGGGTGGAGGTAATCGACAGGAAACCCTGGACCCGGGTTTCGTGCCACTTGGCATTCGTCAGCAAGGTGTACCTGTAATGTTGAGGGAACTAGTACTTCATGACGGATTCAATCTCGCATCATTCAGCTTCACAATCAGTCAATGGTAAATACATGAGGTCGATCGCGGCCCGAATAGCTCAGTGGTAACGTCTCAGCGATCAATCAATTGGACATTATTTATGTTTATTCATTATCCATAAAATATCATATTGAATTGATTCTTTTGTATAAAAATGTAAGAATGATCACATAAGTTAACATCTTACATCCAACTTCTTTCCCCAGTTTCGAAGATAATATATGGATTTGTATTGACAGTGCTATTACTCTATCTTCTTCATCGCCTAATTGCCGATTTGATAACATTTCACTTAATTTTCAAACGATTCACAAACTTAGTCGATAGGTTGGATTATTTCAAGCACATTCATCATATCAATACCAGTCTAGTTAATTTAGAATCCAAGCAAAATATGTAAAGTTAACGATAATCAATGTAGTTCTATGATTTCACTTAGTTATTGTGAACAAAACTTAGCTTCAGGATTTTCTGAAGATTGCGTACTACTATTATTATTAGCTTTACTTAATATTAAATTTTTTTTACTTACTTACGCCTATTACCCTTCGCGGAGGAGCATAGGCTACCCACCAGAACTCTCCATACAACCTTGTCCTTGGCAATACTTTCCAGCTTTTTCCACTTGTTATTTATTCTTTCCATATCTACTTTTATTTCCCGATGTAACATTTCTAGTATTACTACCGGTCTCGAACCCGGGTAAAGGAGGGTTTGGCATAGGGTTAGTGACCCCAGCTAGTAAAAACGCTAACCAGGAAAACACCAAATATTTTTGGTACAATATAAAATTCTCTGCGCAAAGTATTTCAACAAGTTTCTCATTTCTTATTTCTTGATCGATTCTGACGATAACATATTGAGTGATCACCAGTTAGAAGTTAGCAGTCCAATCAATCGACATCTAAACAATGTACATTCATTTTACTGCATAGTACCAGTAACCACTATATCTCTGATTAGGCCCTTTTGTAACTTGTGCAACGAATGGTTGTACAGATATCAGAAACACATCTGAATAGGTTATGTGATGAATAGCCAATAGTGATGTTGTAGTGTCGGTTATTAATGTTAAGCCCATATACTTTATTCTAGCTTTCGGACAGCCCATTCTATTCATTCTACTTGAGTCATATTCTGACCTTATTTATTCGCTTATCAATCTTGTCTGATTTTATATGAGCGCGTAGGTGTGTGTACACTTCTTATCCCATTACTCATCACATGTCTGTATTACATTTTTGTGTAACTAGAATTGTTGATTAAGGTATGGTTAAATTGGAGTTGGCTTACCCGCCATCTCCACTACGCGTCGTTTTGCTTCGTCCTGTTCCGTTCACTTCATATACAAACTATATGTATTCAAAAGTCCATTCTCGTTATTTGAATTATCTAAATCCGTTATTGAATAATGCGATTTAAGTCGATTATTATATACGAGGATAGACGATAACAAACATTTATTACAATCTAATTAGAGTCAGGTCTCAAGCCCAACAATGTATTAAAACAAACAAATAAAATTAGATAACATGTTGAAATATCTAGATCAATGGTAGGAACAGGTAGCTCAGATGTTCAAACAAACCTCCACGGCGAGACTCTAATTTATGGACGAACCCTGAACGAATGTTAAGTGAACTTGACAATTATTAGCTGATCAGAAGACAGTTAGTATAAAGTAAAAATAGATTATAAGAAACTAATGAATTACAGTGGATATTCTTCTTTTACGTGATTTAAAAACTTGTTAAGGTTTGATAAAGGTTCGAATGTTCTGAAATCATCATGCATACGATATAGAAACTCGTCCATATGGCTCCATAATAGTCGTCCTCTGTAGCCATGGTACGGTCTTAAAAATTCCTTCAATCTCGATCATATGGCTTTAATGTTGTTAGTATGAACGCCAGTAGTGGGGTCGACAAAATGACGTTGATGGACATACACAAGTCTATGAAGGCATCTATACGCTCTCCAATCATCTGTATATACCGTAGTGCCCGGCTGCATGTATTCCTGTATAATTGGTAATATTGTGCTTGCTTGCCGGTTTCTGACCCTCTGAAAATGCCCCTTTTGCGTTGAGCGATCATAACTTCCAAGTACCTGTCAGGTACATTTACAGAAGTGCTACTTACCCAATCTTCCTTGATACTACGTCCCCTGTTGTATTTTCGCTTTCGCACTACCGTTTCATCTATTTCCACAATACTTCCGACTCCGAATGATTGGTGTAGACGTGTCATTTTAAGTACACATATATCACGACAATACTCATATCATTGGACGGCTGAAGTTTTAGTAACATCTTCAAACACTGCAGTCAGTGTTACTGGTGTCTTTATAATCCAATTTACAATTATTATCATGATTTGCCTTAGTCTCAGTCGCGATCGAGCGAAGAAAGTCCCTGTTCGAGCAGACTTTTTTTCTCCAACATAAAGAACAACGAAATACAATCTCATCACGATAGTCTGCACATTTTACTGCAGTCATTTGGTAACCGCAGTTACAGATACAGGAACTTCTTAATAGTCACCTCTTCTCTAAAATCCGCTGTAAACCAATCGTATATGAGCATCAGGTGTTGAACTTGGCTCCATAACTATGAAATCCTTCAAACGCTTCCGATTGACTTGTCCATAAATTAAAGTCTCGCCATAAATACTTGATAATTGAACTTGATCTTATTTTGTTGTCAGATCAGATTTTGATACTGCTTATTTTGTTTAAAATTTCAGATTCATTTACAAAATAAACATATGATAACTGATTATCGTTGTAATGGATGCGAAGAAACATTTACGGATCAAATTCAATGTCTTATACATATTCTATATCATCATATTACAACAACAAAATCAACCATCCAGGATGATAATGATGATCATGATGATACTACTATTAACCTAAACACTAGTAGTAGTAGTAGTCGTAGTAACAGTAGTAGTCATAGTAATCCTATTACTAATCGTGATCATAACACAAAGAAACCAACTTCATTCAATGAAAATGAAAACACCTCATGTAAATACCAATTCTCAAATAGTATACATGTCAATGATATGAAATTACATAATATAAGTACAAATTCTGATCACATATACACCAATAATCATTCATTATCAAATAGACAAGAAAATGTTAAACTAGATCCAACTACTACTACTACTAATCATCCGATAATCAATGAAAGTAGTATAAATACATTGGATATAAATTATCCTTATCATATACAATCATTCATTCATTTTCTTACAATGTTATGTTGGCCTAATTTATGGTCTATTAATTGGATACAATCTGATATAGATGGTATATTAAAGAAACATTTGAATAATGATTTAAATCAAGATCATATGAATGTGATATCAAGCATGGATGAGTATACAAGACCATTTACTTCATCTTCAACATTATCATCAGCATCATCGTCATCATTATCCATTCCCTCTTTGTCATCATTACATGTAAGTCAATGTTTTTAGATGATAATAACTTTATGCATTAAGCAAACTAATTGGATAATTATCAGTTTAGGTGTTATGGAAGTTATTAATAAGTTTTTGATTGAGATCATGAACCGATTGGTGTTAGACCATCACAATTGAAAACCTAGAAGCACTGGACGGCCGATTCGTCCTATTGTGGGACTTCTCAGCAGTGCGCATCCACGACCCCGCGAGCGGGATTCGAACCCAGGGCCTTCGGTCTCACGCGCGAACAGTTAACCAACTGGACCACTGGGCCGGCATCCAGTGGTGATAGTTTCTAACATCAACCAATCCACGAAATTGCGCGGGGTCGTGGATGCGCACTGCTGAGGAGTCCCACAATAGGACGAAACGGCCGTCCAGTGCTTCCAGGTTTTCAATTGTGGTGGTCTAACATCAATCGGTTCATGATCTCAATCAAAAACTTAATAATCTCCACAACCCCTATACTAGTAATACGTTTTTGATTGAAATCATGAAGTGATTGATTGTAAACCCAGATGGCCGTTTCTTCCTATTGTGGGACTCCTCAGTAGAGCGCATCCACGACCTTGTCTCGCGGGATCCGAACCTAGGACCTAACAGTATCGCATGCGAACACTTAACCTTTAGACCATTGAGCTGTTAGCCAACAGTGTTAATGTCTAACTTGAGCATAAACAGTTTTATCAGTTCACATTAGTTCACAATATAAATCTATATAGTTATATAATATACTCTTGTGGGCCAAAGTAATTTTACATTGGTTTTCAGGAGAACCAGACACTATTCAGGCTTAGATTTTATAACCCAACCAGTACAGTTCAATCCCAGTTCACAGGATAACTAGATACTATACCGGCTTTAACGCTACAATCTGAATAGTACAGCTCAATCCTGTGGCGCAACCATACAGGTACCGAGCACCCTGGTGGACCATTCGCACCATTCATATACATATTCACGTCACATGTATAGTTATCCTGATCAATGATCGCGTGAATCGGTTATGCACAGTAGGAACAGGCCAAAGTTGACCTATTCCGCCTACACGACAGTCAAACTCATTAATGTTAGCAATGGCAACATGCCTTACAATGTCCCAATTACAATGACCCTAGAGAATACTGAAAAGCAACCACCAGTATGAATGAAATCGGTTAACCAGCGAATCAAATTTTGTGCATGAACATTCAGCAAAATTTTAAACATGAAGCAAACTAATCGGATAATTATCAGTTTAAGGATTATAGAAGTTATTAATAAGTTTTTGATTGAAATCATGAATCGATTGATCTTATATCATCATTGAAAACCCGGACGGCCGTTTCATCCTTTTTGTAGGACTCTTTAGCAGTGCACATCCACGATTTTGTCTCGCAGGATTTGAATCCAGGACCTTCGATATCTTACGTGAATACTTACTCTCTAGACTATTGAACCGGTATTCAACGGTGTTCATATCTAACTTGAATCTAAACAACTTTATTAATTCACATGAGTTCATAATATAAATCTATCTTAATCAATATTATTCTTATTATTATCATTATAGTTTCAAGAAAATTGTGAAATACATGGATTAACCCCTAAAAGATTAATCGATACAGTCATATCAGATGAAATAAAAAGTAACAAAATCAATGAACCAATCATGTCAAAGGACCCCAATTCATTAAATGATCCATGTACAACATTTCAATCAACTTCAAATTGTATAGTATTATTAACACATTCACATCCTGTACTTGGATTATTACCTTATGAAATTGCATCAAAAATGGATAGTTATAAAGCATCAAAAATATGTCATCTTTGTTTAAAAGTAAGTCATTTTTTAAAGTGAAATAAATTCAATATATACATTTCAAATGATTAAGATTATGAATTCATTGAAACTAGACTTATCACCATAGAAAACTTGGAAACACTGAATAGTCATTTCATCTTTATTGTGGAATTCCTCAGTGACAATGCGTATCCACGACTTCACTTCAACTGACTCATGATCTTAATCATTGAAATTACTTTATAATATTGACATAACTCATCTGAGATATAAAAAAAATAAATAGTAATGAATTCATAGTTTTACTTTATTGAATGTTCTTTGAATGGTTGTGGTTAAACGAATGTTTGATTATGTCAGAGGTTTAATCAACTAGATTTCTTGTTATAACTAATTCTTTTCATATTCTTCTTTATGAAATAGTCTGAATAGCCATTTTTTCGTTAAAGTTTTCTTGAAGAATAAGATTTCTTCATTAATACATTCCGTATTGTATATCCGATGTAATTGATAACATAAAGAATGAATGAGATTTCTCTTTCTGTTTAAAGGAATCTAGCTATAGAAGTCGATCAGCTGGCTATTTCAAGAAATCTGGTTGTTCCATTTCAAAGAAAAACTTGTATATATACATGAATAACCTTCAATAGTAAAGTATTACGATTATGTTTAAAATAATCCTATAATGTCCCAATGATGTCAACAGAATAAATTTTATAACTATATCATTGTATTCCCATCAAGTGACAAGTTGAAACTATTATATCCTCTTTTAATCTAAATTACAATCGAAGTTGATTACAAGGATGCCCTGGTATGGCCGAGAGTGAGGAGAGTCCGCTCTCCCTCTCGAAATGCTCTCACATGACCACGCGTATATAGCTTCTGTCAGGGAAGTCCTATTCATTGCCTTCTCGTGGCAAAAGTGTTGTTTACGAAGTTGAGAGGACAAAAAGCAAATGTTCGGCGCTCTAACCGAGTTGGTGGATACAGTGGATGCACCCAGAATATTTTAGATAACTCTGATTCAGAATCAGTGGTGCACATGGGCTCCAGTAACCAATTATTGGTCACCGGCTACCGTAGGACTGCATTTCCTGATGTTGCTTCACTTCTCCTTGTGAATCAGACGTTCAGGTCGAAGGCTCTGGGTGTGACCCCCTAAGAAAACTACCTGTTTCGGTTTGGGCACCCGGTCATTATCACAGCCCTCATACATGTCAAATGAGATTTATGTGGCACATGTGTATTTGGTGCCTTCTTTTACTAATATCTATGTGCTAAAATAAAAATAAAATGATCATAAGAGATAGAAAGATTCCTTTTAATCGATAGTTTAACTTTATGCTTTTACTAGAGGAGTTTTCCTATACACACAAAACTAAATGAAAATGACGATCTATTAACTGAAATAGTGTCTAAGCAAATAATTAGTATAGAACACTCTCAATAAAACAGGAAGATAGTTTTTCCTCACTAAAACTATTACACTGTTATTAAAAGTTTTGTTTACAGTGTCTTCATTAAGTTTTAAGTTCATGGATCTTTTTTTTTCACTGGTTTGTTGGGAAAAGAATGAATCATATTGCATTTTGGATGGATATCATGAACTGATTGATGTTAGGCTACCATTGAAAACATGGAATAACTATACAACTGTTTCGTCACAGTATAGGATTTCTCAACAGTGTGCATCCACGATCCCATTCGCGAGATTCGAACCCAGGATCTACCAATCTTGCAAGCGAACAATTAACCACTAGACCACTGAACTGGCATCCAACAATGAGACTGACAGATCTGAGGTTTGAATGCAGCGGGTGCGATGGTGGCTGCGCAATGCTGAAGAGTCCCATGATACGACGAAACGATCGTTCAATGCTTCCAAATTTTCCATAGCGATCTAATTCAAATGACTCATGATCTCAACTGTTAAAATGAATGTAATATCCATAAAAACAAACCTTTTCATATTCCTTTTTAGCTTGAAATAATACTTCAACTGACATCTACCCATAGAGAGAATACCATCTACCTATCTACAGTTTCACATCTCTCTACATGACATAATTATTATGAATATTATCCTTCTTAAATGATTCATCTTATTTACTTTCTAGGAATTTACTGATGAAATGACAGTACTACATCATCAAGTTGAAGAACATAGTCTTGAAGATTATTCAAATGTATCAAATTCCATAAATGAACCAAATTCATTATTCATTCGTTGAAATGAATCCATATTCAAAAACAATAAACAACCAAGACAAACAACCATAAGATGCCATTCATTGAATAGATTATGATTATACTTGTGTGATATCATTTCAGATATTTATGTATAAAATTGATTTTTTCTCTTTTTCTTTCTTTGCTTTTCTTCTCTCTTTTATTGATCTTTCTTGTAATTTACTTTATATAATAAACAGTTGACCGAGAAAACATTATCATTTATTAGTATCAGAAGAGGTTTTGTGGTGATTGTAGTAATTTCAACAGTTGTTTACGCACCTAGCGTGAAATTGATAGGTCCTGGGTTCGAATCTTGTAGGTGGCGAGGTCGTGGATGCGCACTGCTGAGGAGTCCCACAATAGGACGAAACGGCCATCCAGACCTTTCAGGTTTTCAATAGTGGTCTCACATCAATCGGTTCATGATCACAATCAAAGACAAAATGTTACTGCCATCCATATTTACACTTGAAGTTCCGTTTTTTTTGGTTTTGGTTACGCACAAATCTATTCACTATTAATAATACTTCTTTCTATAGTTACTGATTATATACCATAGTTTCTATTTATTTTCTGATTATCAACTGACTTACACTGTACTTGCTTACTTACGCCTGTTACTCCTAATGGAGCATAGGCCGCCGATCAACATTCTCCAACCCACTCTGTCTTGGGTCTTCCTTTCTAGTTCTATCCAATTGTTGTTCATTCTTCTCATGTCTATCTCCATTTCTCGGCGTAATGTGTTCTTTGGTTTTCCTCTTTTCCTTTGGCCTCGAGGATTCCCAATGAGGGCTTGTCTTGTGACGCAGTTGGGTGCTTTCCTCATTGTGTGTCCTATCCACTTCCAGTGCTTCTTTCTGATTTCTTCCTCCGCTGGAATCTGATTTGTTCTCTCCCACAGTTGGTTGTTGCTAGTAGTGTCCGGTCAACGGATCCGAAGTATTTTGCGTAGACTTACGTACAGTCCTTCTTCATTCATATATATTCGTCTAAGTCAATTATTATCTTCTTAGATTGATTGTATCCTGATATTCCTTATAGTTCCCTAGACATTTTGCCAATAAACTTACACTGTAGAAAGCTCTGCATATTACCATCGTAAGAATGAAGGCAAAAACTTATTTCAGCGGATATGAAGGATTTATAGACCGTATTGTTTTTCTTTTTTATATTTTGAACGGTGTGAAAAAAAAACAGTAACAAATTATCTGAATAGAACTGTTAGTAGGACTGCTACCTGAAATTTGTGCCGATAATGTCGTTCAGAAGAACGATGAAAGCTTCATGACCAAACCATTCAGCTTATAGAACAAACCCCATCAAGAACTGTTAGTAATTTTATAGTCCAGTTCATATCATCATAACTCTTTTATGAAGGTTATAATAATCACGGAATTCAATCAACTAAGTTACTATACAGGATAATCTCAATGAGATGAAACTATTGGGATAAATAGTAGTGAACTAGAAGTAGTGCAAGTTTCAGTGTTAGTATTTGTGCTGTAGGAATGATGAGGTATAGAAAATATGATTCAAGAAACAAGAAATAGTTAGAGGAATAAAGGATCTAATGTAACTTTGAAGCTTAGGATCAAGAGCTAAATAAACAGTAAATATGTATGTAAACATTTCATTAATCTTAAACCATATCACTTTATTCACAACCTCAAATGATAAATTTTCACCTACTAACATATGTCAGATTGACGGTCAGTGACTTCGTAGAGCAATCTTATCTTTTCGTTTGACGGATTATGGCTATATTTAACCTAGTTCTACACCACTCAACAACACTCCCCGATATAGGTGGTGGTTTGATATACTTAACATATATCTCAGCGAGCTCAAACTATGAATGCTGACGACCTCAACAATCGATTACTTAACCCTGCTTAGTACCTTATGTCTAAAATCAGTATTGTTTAATCAGTTGTTTAGATATACGCAAACAATATTTCGAGGGGCACTTATTGAACACCAGTAATTTATAAGTGCCCTTTACATTCATAGTCTATCATTCACAACCATAAGATAGAACAGTAAAGTGTCACGTAGTATACTTGTCCCTTGGTCAATAGATAGAAGTCTAACACAGACCACGCGTGTCTCAAATTAATAAAAGCGAAACATGTTTTCCTAATCCACTCATTGATTCCATAAATCATTTAACCATCAGGGTTAACGAAACACTCACTGTGAATGAATAAGTCAACACAATCGACTATTTCATTCATTTTGCATCGAAAGAAAGATAAAAGCATTTCAAATATTCTTGGTTTGTTGCTCGAATGGTTAAGGAGACTATGTATTTTATCAATGTCCTTACCAAAGAGCACGATGTTATGACGAAACTGATATTAGTTAGAGAATCATTGGAAACCATAACATACTGGACTTATCAATAATGTACATCCACCATACTAGGGATTGAATTGAAGGTCCACAGGTCTAGTTGTAAGCTTAACACAATCCAGTCACTAAGTTGAAATTTGATGTTTACTATTAATTTGTTATTATAAATCAATTTGATCGAATAACGAATAGGGTATTATGAAATCAAAAGTGACTTAACTATTCAGATAGCCATTGTATATGCCTATTCAAATGATGGAAGTAAATAACTAAGCTTTATTGAAAACCTTTTATTGGATGATTGAGATAGTCGATTGAAAGACTTAAACTTAAATTAGTTATTACCTACCTTCAATTGATATCTACTCTTGATCAGACTAATCTCCTTTGTGTTAATAAATCTTCTAGATCCATTGAAGATCTTTCATTTAATCTTTGAAGTGAACTAGTAAATAGAAAAACTTAAATAGATAGGAAAAGTAAATGTAAGAAGAGAAATCAAGACTTTTCTAAAAAATATTTTTTCAACCATTGTCTGATCAAACTCCGCCTGGAATCCCTCCAGGGGCTTCTGCCAGTCCCAAACCCGCATAAAGGAGGAAGGTTAAGCATGGGGTTAGCGACCCCACCTCGTAGAAAACTAACTCGCTAAAAAAACGCTAACCATTGTCTGATCAAATGAGATAGAATAATAGAGTTTAAAAATTGTTTTTGACTTTCCAATTTAACATAGATGATCTTGTAAAACTACTTACTCTATTATACTTAGTGATCACTGTACTTGCATTACATGAGGGTCTTAGTCAGTGTTGCTACCCCCACTGATATACTGTTAAACTTGTATGACCACTGCCCTCAAATGCCGTGGTATGGCCGAAAGTGAGGAGAGTCAACTCTCTGTCTCTAAATGCTCTCACATGGCCATGTCAATACAATCACTCCTAGGGAAGTCCTACTCACTGCCTTCTCGCGGCATCACTGTTGCTTATGAAATTGAGAAGATGAAAGTGAATGTCCGTCGCTCTAACCGGGTTGATGGATACAGTGGATCCTTACAGGGATTTTGGATAACTCTGATTCCGCGTCAATGGTGCACATGGGCTTCAGTATCCTGAGGAAACAAATGGGGTATGAACGTAATGTTGGTTACTGGCTAACATGGAACTGCATCTCCTGACGTTGCTCCACTGCCTTGTGGATCAGACCTTTAGATCAAAGACTCGAGGTGTGGCCCTTTAATAAAACTACCTGTTTCGGTCTGGGCACCCGAGCAGCATCACATCCCACAGCAACCAATGTAATATTGGCTTCTCCTTAGTAATGAATCATCCCCCACCAAACTGATATAAAAAGCAAAATCATATATGTACCTAAGACAATAAGAAACACAAGTATATCAACATTTTCTAAAACGAAATCTTAATCTAACCTATACTTAATAACTTGTACGTAGTTATAAGGTGAATCCATTAGAACACATTCGAATAACATCATTCTCAGTATAGAAGATAACGCATTTGTTGTGAAACCTCAAGTTTCTAGGTTCGATTTCTAAAAGAAAAAAAATTATAACTTCACATCCATGAATCGTATACTAAAATTAAACAGCTGTCTAGTATTCCGTAGCTGAAATCCCTCCATGAAGTAAATTAAAATCATTCACTTCTGTTCTACTGAGACCACATTGTCATGATTGTTATTATCGTTTTATAATCTCATCCTACTGTCTTCACAGATTGTTTATTCTTATTAGTAAATAATTCATTCATATATATAAGTTGTTATTGTGTTACTTTGAATTCTATCAGAAGGGGTTTTCTGGATATTATAGTAGTTTCAATAGTTGAGATCATGAGTTAATTGAAGCTAGACCACCAACGAAAACCTCGAAGCACTGAACGGTCATTTCGCCTCAATTTGAGACTCCTCAGAAGTGCGCATCTACGATCTCGCCCGCGGGACTCACACCCAAGACCTATCGGTCTCGCAAACGAATGCTTAACCTCTAGACCACTGCGCTGGCCAGCATCTAACGCTGTTAATGTTGAACCTCAATTGATTTATGATTTCAACCATTAAAATTACCATAATATCCATAAAACACCTTCTAATATTAATCAAAATATACTCACTAGTGACTGATTTCAAGAGGTACTTCCTAGAGTCCTAGTGAGAAGCAGTAACCAATGGAGTTCAACTGGGTCTGTTGTGAGATAGTAACTCACTGAAGACAATGTTGAATGTGTCACTCAATTTCATGGTTTGGTTGAAGTTAGACATTAACACTTTTGGATGCCGGTCAGATGAGTTGTCTAGTGGTTAAGCGCTCACGTGCGAGAAGGATAAGTCCTGTGTTCGAATCTCGCTAGATGAGATCATGGATACGCACCGCTGAGGAGTCCCATAATGGAACTTCCAGGTTTTCCATAGGTGGTCTAGCTTCAATTGACTCATAATTTCAACCATTAAAATTACTTTGAATTCTGTCTATCTCTTTTCATCATATTACTAAACTCTATTTATGTCACTATCTTAATTCTAACCAATTCATTTCATCTTTTTTTCTTGTTTTTTTTTCTCTTTCTTTAATATGATTATGTGACTGAAATGAGGAAATAAAACAGGAACCAACCAACCAATCAAG